ATATATATATATATATATATATATATATATATATATATATATATTAAGGTTCCTAAAAAAAAAATAAAAAGAGGAAAATACTAATACGTGTTGCAGCTCGAAATGTCAGAATGATTCCATAAAAAACTATTTAAAATATTCATTAACATTAAGGTTCCTGATACTTTTGCATACGCGCGCGCATACACACATACACACATATAATTTCTCACTTTCAATGCTATAATTCAATACTACTATCAAGTACAATCAAAGATCAGAAACCTAAATATTAATATCTGTAAATTTTCTATAACAATTATATATATTATACGAAAAACTTACAACTATATCATATTGTGGAAAAATGTACTTAAGAAAGAATTATTTATATATCCTGGATTACGAGTGTCTTAAGTGTCTGAGAATTTTAGCTGATCGCTGATTATTTTTACATCCTCGTCATCTTGTCGCTTCGTCGCTACTGTTTTAACTTCTTCTACAGGATTGCCACCATCAGGCGCTTGCCTCGATACTTCAGGAACAGACGATTTGGATATAGCGAAACAATAATTCTCGGTCTCTACATCAACTTGCTGTATCGATGATTTGTCGAATGAAGCAGTGGTAATCGATTCCGCACTATTACCCGACGTTAAATCATTGTCGCTAGATTTGTGCATAACAGTTACGTCGATATTACTGACATTTCCAGGCACACCCGAAGGTATTTCACAGAGAAAATCTGCATTCTCTTCAGATTCCGACAAAGTTGTTCGACTTTTTATTTGTGTGTCGACTGGAAACACAGCATTGTTCTCCGTTGAATTTGTACCGCGGTTCATTGCCATGCTGAAACTTTTCGCGTATCGATTATCAAGTTGCTCTATAGCTTCTTCCTCAGGCGATATGGCGGACGTAGCTTGTAAGTCCGGTACTACTAAGTGCTGATAAAAAAGTGGATTAACCATACCGTCTAAGTTTCTATAACGTATATTGGTACTTATTAGATATGTCGTCAATTCATCCCACTCTGCATCGTCATTTTCTTCCGCGATCAATTCTTCCCGTATTACAGTCGATATTTTGCTACGAGATTGCGATTCTTCGATTGGTTTGGAAACGCTTTCACCAACATATACGTTACTTATATTAAGAGATGCTTGACTTGTTGCATCAGTATAAGCATGCTGTGCGCTTATATTATCGGTCTGAGTGGGCACTGAACAAGTGTTAACGCTACGATTGTTCTCTTTTTTATCTTGCAAATTGTTCCTATGTTCTCGTAACTTCGTGAATAGATTTATGATATCTCTCTTCATCGGCATATCCACTCCTGCAGGGGGCTTAGGTGGAAGGTCCAAAGAAAGTTTATCGAGCAAATGACTTATATGCGTTTTGGTACCTCGTGCTGGATATTCTGCACTGCTATCCGATAGATAATTATGTGTCAAATCGTATGGATTTTGATGCTGATAATGCTTAGAGTATTGACTGGGATGCGTATTGGAACTTGAAGAATATCCAGTATCAGTCGCTTCAAGATTTATAGTCGTACTTTGATTAGATATAGACTCGAGACGCAGATTATCATTGTTTGCTATAAGGAAAGAAGTTTGTTCCTTGTTAATCACACCGGATTGATCGCTCTGAGTTTTGCATTGCTTAGAAATTTGTGATGTTTCAAGAAGATGTGAAGCGATTGTCTTAGGTCCTGAAGTTTCGGCATTCCTTTTATCAGTATATTCATTTTCACTACTTGACTCGTTGATTTCGAAATCACTGTCAAAGTCATCTTCGAAAGCCGTATTCGTGACGTCACGTAAGCGTGACTGCAAACGTTCCGTGATCTCGTTCAGTTCATTCAATTTTTGCCTGTAATACATTAATTATAATATCTGTACGAAAAATGACAAAAATAGTCATAGATAAAATAAAGTAATTGCACCAGGATTATACTTACTTCAAAGATAGCGACAGAATAGACATAGAAACATTTTCTAGACTATGATCAGTATTCGCTGCACAAGTGGACTCATCTCGTTTATTAGTATCTTGTACGCATTGAGTTTGATTTGTATATGATAATGTTTGTTGTACATTACTCTCTTCTGCATTGCTATAAAGTGTATTGAATGGATACGACCAGTTTGTGTGTGGTAAATCTTTGTTAGTACATTCTGATAAATTAGTAGAGCTAATTAACGCGAATTTCCCAAATGATGGTAAACTATCCAAAGGTGTTATATTTATCTAAAACAAAAAATATATATATAATCTAGATAGAAAAAAAAAAAAATATATATATATATACATATATATAGATTAAAATTAAAAAATATATAATATATATGTGTATAAGAGTAGGAATTGAAATACACACAGGAAAATACATATTGCATTTATGTAAATGCTTGTTTTAAGTATTTCATAAGTTTATATATTCGCAAATCTATCATCAGTTCATCATAAACATTAAATTTATTCAAAATACATTCTGATTCTTAGTAGTTTAGCATTTTAATTAAGGATATTAAATTAAAACAAAAATCCAGTTTATTTACTATATAAAGTCAAACTAATTTTTTCTTCAATAAAGTTTTACGATATCCTTTTAAAGATATACGATTTTAGATAATAATTATGATAAGATTTTATATTTTTCTAAATTTTTCTTTTAAGTACATAATGATGAACTTTTCTAAAATTCGTAATGAATATATTTTACTATTATTTCTTTTTTATTTGTTAAAAACAATCATGACTTAAAAGAATGAAAGTGAACTAAATAATCTTTTTTTAGCAGTACAATAATATTTTTCTATGTGTAGGATTGAGAATATCCGTTTAGAAATTATCTCGAAATTTACTTTAATTTGTCCGTTGCATTTCCCATTAAAATCTATGATATGGAACCATCCAGATATTGTAGGAAATCCAGCCATTAGAACCGAAAGATCAACAGCAGCGAAACCAATCACTGTGTCTTTTTCTAAATTTATTACCGTCACATCTGAATCAACTAAATGCCATACTTTAAGAATCAATCTCTTTTCATTCTGAAAAAAGTATCATATTGTATAATACATATACAGTATTCGACAAATATCTCAGAAAGTGTATTACTTGGAAAAAAAGATAAAAAGTTGTAAGATTTTGAGGGGAATATATTATTATGACGATGAAATGTTTCTTTCAAGATTATTTCAAGATTTTCTTCGATTTTTAAAGTGATATAATTTTTTTAACATAAATCGATTTCTTTGATCATTCTGCATATAAAAATACTGAAATAAAATTAACAAAAAATAAATATTTTATGAAATATTTTACATTTTTTATTGATATACTTTTTAGCACATAAGAAATGAAATATCTCGTAAAATATTTACTTTTTGATGACCTAATTTTGATATTTTTGTACGTGAAATAACGAATGAAATCGATTATTATGAAGTAAACGTAAATCCCATAATACACATGTACGTGCACTTTTTATAGTGTACGTAACATGAGTAGTACGTAAATAAATAAATGCTATAAATAAATGCGCGTATATGCATATTGCGGAATGTAGAGACACATAAAAGAAATACCATTATATTCTGTAGGTGTACAAATTGGTATTATCAATCGATTCCTCTCGCTATTCTACACATAAAAATATTAAGATGAAATTATAAAAACTTGGATATTTTAAGAGATATTATGCTGAAGAGTGTCAAGATGAAATGTAAAATGTCTTAGGGAAAGTATTCATTTTTCAATGTGATCTTAGTTACTTACTTTTATGCCTGTCTTTCTTTTATATATAAAACGTGGAAGTAATTTATATTAAAAAAAAACTATATGATTTTCTAAAAAAATTGAAGTTGATCTTGAAGTAATCTTCAAAAAACTATTTTAATAATATAATAATATTATCATCTTATGTTTCTTCTCTCGAAATCTTATAATTTTTGTTTGAAACTTTTTTCAAATAATATATCTTTCCAAAATATTAGTCTGTAACACTTGATATGCCTCAGCTTGTATAAAACATTCATATATAGATATATTGAACATATAATAAATAAAAAGATACACACATTTAAAAGTAATTCTGTTGGTAACTTTGCATCACTTCTCCAGTTCCATTTTGGATTGCAATTGTGTGGATAAATATTTGTAATCATATATGAATTCAATTGATTACCAGATTTAAGAGTTAAATTTTGGAAGGTAACATATGTACTTGGTTCCACTGATTTATTTAGTCTTTCAATTTTTGGCAAATGTAGAGCGCACTCGATTTCTACGACAGCTCGAAAGAAAGTACTGTTGCTAGTATTTGATTCATCTTTTTCTCTCTTTTCTTCAGTTACGGATGAACTTAAGTGATTATTATAAACATTAGTTTGTTGTTGGTCTGATTCTTCGTCATATTCTGCTCCAACGCCAACACTCCTATACATTTCGATAGGCAATTGAAAATTATTTCTCGGACTGCAACTATCATTGTCATCAGATAAAATATTGCTATTTTGTCTATTTAAACATAATTCTTCTTTATCTATTTTTTCCTCGTCTTTCTCTTCCTCCTCTGTTTGATCTATTTCTGTTTGAGCTGATTGATCTGTACTTATTTTGTTAGTATGTAATGCGCATGCATTTGCTGAACTATTGGCTGATTTATATAAAACTATTTCTTCTTGAGACAGAGATTCTGATATTCTTCCATCTTTAAAAACTGAAATATCCGTTTGTATCTCTTGATTCTTACAATTGAGAGTAATCATATTTTGATCAAGCGTACTGTAAGTATGATAAGTATAATTATTATCATGAGCAGATTGTCCTGGGCTGTTTGGCAGCTCAATGTTATACCGTGAATTCTCTCGACCACTCATTGCACAGTTGGTGTCATCAGAAATAGGACACTGATAACTACCAGATGTCTGTTGCGTTATAATACTAGTATTTCTTAGCCCTCTTGATACTTCTAATAATGCAATTTGTTCTGCAGTACCCAGTGCGACTAGTGCAAGTAATTCACCACAAGATTTTCCACTCACTAGGTCGTTAATATTAACCCAACCGTCCACACTTATAACAGGATACTGAAAATAAATATTAAATAATTAATCGAGAACATCTGATAACATCTGATAACATCTGATCAAAGTACAATATTGATATAATTGAAAAAAGTACAATATTGAAATATATTTACTTTCGACAATAACAAATGAGGTAAAACAAGCGGATCTCTATATGCGATATATAATTGATGCACAGGCAATTTCGCTATTCCCAACAAATTATCCGTGCCATTGTTATTTTGTCGACTATATACTTCTATAATTATGTAATTGTCTCTGATTCTTTCCAATAGCTCTGTGCCGTGAATTAAAGGTACTAGCTGCAATATTTTCAATGTAAACATCACTTTTGTATAACTAATGTCGTTCCGTTAAACATAACAAGAAAAATATTTTACTTGACAAAAATGATAAAACGGGTTTTTTGTATTACTGCAGATTTGACTTGTCGCTTTATCTTCTCGCCAAAATGCTCGGCATATTAAGTAAGTATTAGATTCCGGCAGATCTTTACCCTCAGCAACATATATTAAGCCGTGAAGTAAAACCTAAAATAAAACGTTTAGTAAAGCATATAATAAATATTTGGTCAGAATACAATTATTGTTATTTAAGAAATTACCTTATCTTTAGCAATAGTTTCTGGATTACTTGTGTCAACTTTCTTGTTATCTAAGCTTCGTTCTCTACGTTCCGCTATATCTTTTGCAGTAATTAGATCCTTGTTGTTATCACTAGTTAAACACTCAATCCTCTTGGTAGAGACAGGCGAGACTCTACTACTAGACTTAGAAGAATGTGTCCCTGTCACACTTCTATATTTATTATTTATGTTCGTGCTTGTTAAGTGGTTTACTTCCAGCACAGGAATATTCTCTTTTGCAGATATTACAATATCTAAAATAATTTTACAAATGAATCTTTTAATATTTATATTTATTAGATCTAAATATCACATATACACACGCGCACACGTAGTTTTGTATCTGAATAATGTCAGTTAAGTCAATTAAAGGTTGTTCATTTAACAGAATTGAGTAAATTGAATAATTCTTTTTAGTAAGTTTAAAATTGGTGGCCTATAAAATTATTAAAATATATATGGTTGAATTTTTTTTTTTTTTTTTTGTAAATTACATCATTGCGATAATAAAAATACGATATTTCGTTAAAAAAAATGTTGATGGCCTTAAAATCTCATAAAAAATAACAATAAAAGATATTCGCCTTATCAAAATATTAATCCTTTTGAATTGAATAACTTTTGCCCTTAACTTTTTTTTTATATCATCAAAGGAAATAAAGATATTCTAAGTGTTTAAGTTAGAGGAAACATCTTGTGCATATGCGCGCGCACACACACACATATATATATTGCAAACTTACCCATAAATTCTTTCCCAAAATGGATATGATCACAGCCTAATTCTGCTGTTACTTCTAATTCGCCTATTTTAAGACCTTTATTGGTAATAGTTAAACGCTGAGTACTGCTTAAGTTTGTAGTATGCACAATATCATTAATATTCATGGAACCATATCCTAATTCGGTTGGTGACTTTTTATTACATTGCCGGACAAATATTTTAAATTTTAAAAGAAAATTTCTCTTTATAATATATCTTGATATACCATGGATACCCTCATAGTTGAAGTTAATCACTGAAAATATTTTATTCTATGAAGTATTATGCATATTATTGTATATTATATATCATATATATATATATATATATATATATATATGTGTGTGTGTGTGTGTGTGTGTGTGTGTGTGTGTGTGTGTGTGTGTGTGTGTGTGTGTGTGTGTACATATATAAATATATAAATATATATATAAATATATATATATATATATAATATATGCCACATGTATGACATATAGAAGTTCTTTTATTATTATATTGCATTAAAAATATTTTGTGAACAATTGTTTTACCTTGACCCACTTGTTTCTTAGCATATATTCTTGTGAATTTAACTTCTTTGTTAGATTTTGTGTTCATTTGTCTTGTATATCCAAATGTTGTATCATATTGGACAAAATATGTTAGTGATAACGGTGTACCATCTATATTTTAAAAAATAGTATAATTAAAAATAGTATTCTCATTAGTAAGCTTAAATATACATAATTTATTTATATATAATATATATTTAATATTTCTTAACACCTCTCATATGTAGAATTTCACTTTTCTTATAATAAATATTTTACTTTCTCTCTCTTACTTAAAATATAAAATAATAAAGAGTTAAAAATATAAGCGTTTTAATAGTTTAAACAGTTTATACGTTTCACAATAAATTTAAATTTATATAAAAATATTATTTTAACTTTAAATAAAAAATTGAAATTTATATAAAATATGAAATAATAGAGATTATCAAATTTACATACATTGCAAACATGTAGATTTTGCACGCCTGTAACCTGCAGGACTCAGAGTAAAGGATTCAATAAAAATCCTTATACTATCTACATGATCTAGAGGATGTGTTCCTAAAATATAATAAATATTTTATTAATAAATTATCAAAATTTTAATTTAACTTATTTTATTTTCTAAACCTTTTGACTCAGTATAATTTGTCTCCTTATACAATGCATCTCCCATGGGAATATTTGACTTCACAGGAGAATTTTCAATTAGTCTAGTACTCAAATTATCACATTCACAAGTTGTAATTGTTTTTGATGCTAAATTTATTAAGCTTGGCGTTGGAGATGTTGATCTCAATGTATCTAAAGCCTTCTTTTCCTCCATAGAAGTCATTTCGTTCCCCAAAATATACTCATAAAGTTTAGCTTCATTTTTTGCCGAAACATATGAATATGATTCATTGTTCACTGAAGTGTCACTCAAAGCCAAAGGATCTTCATTGTATGTCTCTTTTAATATTGCTCCTCTAAGTCGCTGTGCTCTTGCAACAATCTGGGCAACTAACTTGTCCGTTACCATTTCATTGTATTTCTTCCTAGTTTCTTGAAACTCTGGTCTCTTGTCCTTTAGTATAGGTTTATATGTATCAAATGTATCCATCTTTACAGGTTTTATAGAATTCTTCTTAATAGTGTCTATATCCTTGTTAAATGACAGTGGTATTTCTCTGATATATTGTAAATTATCAATAGTGCGTAATAAATCATGGCTATTTACTTGATTCTTGTCAGACTTATGCATTTTTAATTGCATATTTGGAAACTTTGCCAAATATGTTAATTGTAAAGAAACATGTACATCCCCTACTTTATTGCCACTGTTACTTAATATTGGAATATACTGAGAATATAACTTAGAAGTAAATATTTTAAATAATTCTCCTATATGTGCTATTCCAATAACTTTATGAGTTTCTTCTACAATAACCACTAACTCTACTGTCTCACAATTCTTAATATAATCCTCAAAGAGTGTTGCATTAGTCTTTATAGCATATATCTCAGTTGTATCCTTGTTTGTTCTTGCTACATCTATGGTACTATCTGTAGGTCTGAGAAAGAGAATATGGAAGTTATGTTATAACTGTACATGATATATAATCCCTTGTCCACAATCTTGCTTTAATTCTTAAGCCGTAAGAAATTGACCAACCACAGTTTATTATTTGATTATTTTTAAAATAATCAACTGTGGTTGGTCAACTTATTACGGCTTAAAGATTAAAGCAAGATTGTGGACAAGGGGTTACACATATCAATAGTTGTGATATTAGGAAGTATATATTGAAATACAATATTAAATTGATTTTATGTTCATTATGTAACCATAAACTACAATATCTGTGCAGGATTTACTGAACCAATTTTAAGTCACAGTGTAAACATAATCTATATTTTGTGTAAAACTGTACAAGAAGAAATTAATTGGATTTTAAATACTATGAATATTTTTGTATGATCAATATAAAATTTCTTTAAAAGTTGTCTCATTTATTTTGTTGTCAGAAAACGAAACTTCGAAAAAAACCAAGCAAATAAATCACCTGAATTGTGCACTGTCGTGCTCGCCCCACCAGGAAGCAACCACCGTGACAGCTCCAGGACTTTTTTTTACCCAAAGCACTTCGTCGATAAGGAGCTTCAGACTTCCGTGAACTTTACCTTCGACCAACGGTGGTAAAGATTTACACAACTTTATCTCCGTATCCATTTGTTTTCTGTGAGACAATACATAATGTTTCACGAACCTGTCATCGAATCTAGATTAGGTTAGATTTGGTTAACTCTGTTTTTCTCTCTCTCTCTATGGCTTCAGACCTTATCCTATGGCTCTTTTACCATTTTAAGCAGTTAATATATATTTTGGATTGTTGGAATTTAAAGGAATTGATTGGTGTGGTTAAGGAATTCTGAAACCAAACGTCCTAGGTTTAGATTAATAGCACTTTGAAACATACGGACAGAGGTCTATTCCTCTGCACTGGCGGCGCTAGTGCAAGCAGTGTACACTAAAGTGTTCTTTTCAACGATTACAGCGATTTTATGGGTGCTTCCAAAATATCCAGAGTTGGGTCGAGTTGAGTTAGTTCCACTATAATATATGTAACGGATACTATAGTGGAACTAACTCAACCCAACCCAAACCTGGACGGGTGTATATCAGTTGGACACGGGGCAATTGGACACAGTCCAATTACAAGTCGCTGTTCCAAGGGACCCTACAAATGTCTCTAATCACACGGTACTGTGATTGGCTGTGTCCAAATGCACCGTGTCCAAGTGCACCGCTCCCGCGAAAACCATAACCCAGTGCAGCTACAAAGAAGAGACCTAATGAAATGATCCGTACATCTAAAGATAAACTTAAAACGGTCTTAAATATAAGATCTGATTATGAATACGGGCATTAGTCATTGACATTCTAGTAAAGAATAGATTTTTTATACAGTCAGCATTGTGTGCAATTATACTTCTTGCCTGCACTCTGTAATTCTAAAAAAAATCTTCACTACTAAAATAGTGAGTAGATACTGCTCGTCGCAAAAAATCAAGTTTTTTCCAGAGTGTCAATGACAAAAAAATATCAGTAACTTTATATTTTACCTCATCTACTGTATTTTTCTGAGATCTTATTATAGTACTAAGGTTAAATTTTAAAATTAGAGATATTTAAATAAACTTTAACAGTCATTTTATTTATTCGTAAAATTGTTTGGCGGAGGTGATGAAGAAAGAGGAGATGCTGAAGACGGCGGAGGCGGTGGAGGTAATGATATAGGCGACCAATATGACTGGGGATACTGTGGGTTAGAATGTGAAAACTCAACAGAATGATTGGAATCGTAAAACGGAGAGTTGAAGGTAGGATAACCGCCGTAGGATGGATGAGAATATTGAGGGACATAGCTATATTGTGTACTCATGTCAGTACTCGGATAATATTGATGTTCATAGTTCGAATTATATGAATTATAATTGGTATAGTGCTGCGGCAGCGTTGGCGATAGGAAAGGCGGTGCAGCGTATCTTTCTTGATACGACGGCGGCAGCGTATTGTACATGAAACATGCATTTCTTGAATTATCTTGAGATGGCCGATATTGGTTAAATTGACTTGTGCAATTAAACTGATTACTGTTTTTCCAGGCTGGCCCACGCGGATAGAGTGCCTGAGATGAATAATTTATGTTCCGCGAATTTCTCCTGTAGAAAGTTGATTCTGAAGTAGACGTACTCGGAGTAGAAGCTTTCGAAGTAGACGTACTCGAAGTGGAAGCTTTCGAAGTAGATGTACTTGAAGTAGAGTTCGTTAATGTGTGAGAGGTTTCTTGGAAAAAAGAATACAATCAGTGTTAATTGTCTTGGTACTTGTGCAATGAAGAAGCGTACTTTTCCTTCTAACATACAAAGGAGGATGTTAAAAATAGGTCATTTTTGGTCCCTGGATGGAACCTCAATTAATCATTGGAAACTGTTTCTAAGATCTTTTAAATCAGATCCACAATATGCTCTTTGCATTTTGTTTCTTGTCTTCTGTCTTTTTCTGACTTAAAGCCTAATCTACAATATGCTCTTTGTGTTCTGTTTCTTGTCTTCTATCTTTTTCTAGCTTAAAGTTTAAGGTTTGAATCAGAAAGAGATAAAGAGAAAGAAGCAAGAGGCAAAGAGCATATTGTAGATCAGGCTTTAAGCCTAATCTATAATGTGCTTTTTGCTTCCTGTTTCTTGTTCTGTCTTTTTTTAGTTTAAAGCTTAAAGTTCAAGTTAGAAAGAGATAAAAAAGAAATAGGAAACAAATAAATTGCATATCAAGCTTTAGAAACAGAAAATGGGAATTATTTGTCCACCAGGTCCAGAGAATTATTGGGATTTATTATTGGTCATAAAAATAGTCATATGAAGTGTTTTTAACATAATTAGAAACATTGTGTAAACAAAAGAAGAACTTCTTTATTATTACTCACTTATCACATTTCAAGACAATGTGGAATTGATTTTGTTTTAAAGACATAAGAATACAGAGCTTAAAAACGTTTCATTCAACTATTTCAATAATCAATAATAAATCTCAATTTTCATAATTTTTCCAGGACTTGGTGAACAAATAATTGTTATTTTTTGTTTCTCAAAGATCATAGAAATAATTTTTAATAATTAGTTAAAGTTTCATCAATGGATAAAAAATAGCTTATTTTTAACATTCTCCTTTATATTTATCCCAACTAGTCGTAGCAATTTTTCATTCATCAGAAAATAAAGTAATACTTACTCAATGTACATATTCGCTTCGATTGCGTATCATCGCCCGAATTTTTGTTTCTGTTTTGTACTGTTTTTGTACTATATTTTCGCTGCTTATGCAGCTTGTCGTAGTAACGTTTTTCCTCTTCGTCGTCTGAGAAGTCTGGATGCTCGCAGTCAGAATCATCACAATTTGAGTCACTGGGTTTCATTCTGTGGAGTAGAATATTTTTGTAATATGTTACGAATGCAAAGTTTACGGAAAAAGAGAAAAATATTCAAAACACTAACTTCATGACTTCAGACAAGAAAACGAGGAATGTGTACTTAGAATTAGGGCAATAATAAACCTGCATGCCCACTTTGATTCCCTTTTCTTGTAAATGTTGCACGCTGTTAAAACGAACGGTATAATGTGGTTCTTTAACAGGACCAAACACATCAAATATCTTGCCTAGTGCTCTTTGACCTCGGTCTATGAACAGAATACTTTCCTCTCGAAGTGCTGGTTTATTAGGTCTAGATTTTATGACTGCCAATTCTTCCACTATTCCAGTAATCTAAAATTTGGTATTTTGTAATTAGATGAACAGAAATGATAGACTAATCACAATAAACAACTCAGTAAACACCATCAGTAACATCAATATATTATAATTTCTTACTCAATATAAACACTAATTTCTTACTCAACAATATAAACACTAATTTCTTAACTACACAATATAATATGAATGTTATGCAATAGTTACACTATTGAGTAGGAAATTATAACATTGAGTTAATAACTGTTGGTTGGTGTTTACTAGAAATGCCTGATGATATTACCTCGCCAAATGAATCGCAAATGACCTCTGGAACACTAATTTTCAAATCTTCTACTGGTGGTAGACCATCCAATTCGCTCTGTACTGGTATCTCCTTAAATACAATAGTTTTCTTTTTTTTCTTTTCCCTAAAAATAATTAACACACATCAGAAGTTAACATTTCTATTTTCATAAGTAAAAAATAAAACAAATATGTTTTATTTCCTAAAGAGAGATAATGCTACAAACCTATTTTTATGATTATTATCTGAGTCATCATCACTGTCTGAAGAGTTATTACTATTGCTACTACTGGAATCACTCTCACTATCACTACTGTCACTTGATGATACTCTATCCTTTGAACGATGCTGATGCATATTTTGTACATCTATCTTTGTATCTACCTTTGCATTTACTTGTATTTCTACTTGTATATCTACTTGTGTTTCTACAATTTCACTATTTTTTATAGTATTTTCAGGTTTTTCTATATCCACTGTATGTGTTCCTTTAATTTCTGAATCAGAATCTTCATATTCTTGAGCAATTATACCAAGGGAGGATATTTTATTTCCAAGATCTGCATCAAAAAAATAAAAAAATATTACATATATATATACATAAGTGTGTATTAAATAAATATAAAATAATCTTTTAATATAGACAAACTTTTATATAAGTTTATAAATGTTTATATTATTTAATTATTTTAGATTTTACAAATTGAATATTCATAAGAATTTCTCATGTGTAAAAAGTTGTGTTTACTTTATAACCAATATATTTATGTACTTACCTTGAGTTTGTGTAGACGTATTGTTTACATCTGTAGTGCTTTTTGTATTTATATCTACAATTGGTTCCATTTTTTTAAACCAACTTTATCTTTAGTTTAATAAAGAAGTTTAATAAAGTGCGTCAATTTTATAAAAATATAGCTTTTTCAGTAATGAATACCATTATTAGATACCATGCAGCCATTGAATAAAGAATACCAGGAAGGAGTATAGAAGAGAAAATCCTTTGTTAGCAGTGTGAAGGATGTGACATCATAAAACTGAACCAATTGCGATTATCGATACCATGAATTGAAATTGTGACGTCATGTTGTCGAGAGCAAGCAGAGACTAATGAAAAAGAACAGACCTATTGAGAGTGACAGATTGAAGAATATTTTACATTTTAATTGTTAAATAAGTATAAAATGGTTAGTTGTTGTTTATGTGGTTTTGCAAAAACAAAAGGACGTGTGGAAACATTTCATACGTAATGGTTTCTGCACACAGGACGCGGTAATGCTTGTCGCGTGGCGGAAGTTCGCGCGACAGCCAATCAATATGCTGTTTTCCGTAATAACCTTCTAGCTCTTACGGAAAAATAACATATTGATTGGCTGCGCGGCAAGCATTACCGCGTCCTGTGTGCAGAGCCATAACTCGTTATTGAAGTTAACGACAGTTTCGTTATCGTTGCGCAGCTTTTCTACGGTATACAAAAGCTGCGCAGCGATAACGAAACTATCGTTAACTCCAATAACGAGTTACAGAATCCCAGCACTGAGCTGCGTTCGGAAACGTCACTCGAATACTCTCCCTCTATTTTTATCTCGCTTTTGTATTTCGCTCACTCCAACGCAACGAGTACACTTGGGTAACGTTTTCGAACCCAGCCCTGTAGTCTGTGTAGAATCACTCTAATCAGAGTTTGGCAATGACGTATATACGTCAGTACTTGCAGTAAATAAAGGAACGTACCCTAAGCATTCCTATATTTCTAGACTGCGTTCCAAAACTCTACTCGATGGGTAGAGTAATATTTAATTGACTAATAAGATAATAAGTAATTAATAAGATAATAAGTAATATTTAATTGACTAATAAGAGTAATATTTAATTGACTAATAAGAGTAATATTTAATTGACTAATAAGAACAAAGATAACTAAGATTTCTTTATCATGATTGGTTAATTAAATGTATTCTACCCACCGAATAGAATTTGGAACGCAGTCCTGCTGTAGCAGTGAGTGAAGACGGAAATTAGCAGTTTAAAACAGAGTGAGAAAGTTGATTTGCTCGGGTGGGATCTGATTGACCACGATACGATTGGACACAGATTGTAATGATTGGTTCGACCTAGTAATTACTAGATAATTCTTTTCATTGGTTGGTTGTGTCCAATCGTTCCGTGGTCAATCCCCTAATAGCACGCAATGTTCAGGAAACGTCCAGTGGATATCCATAGAACATAAAATGTCCTCTGAATGTTTTCTGGATGTTCTCTGGACATCTTTTGAACATGCGTGCTATTAGGATCGAGACGCTCCCAATTTGCTCCTAGTGCTTTCTCATGGTTAGACTACATTTTCCCGAAAAGTGGAGGGGATAGTATTGGTACGAACGAAAACCTCTAGACGATATAATTTTAATTTCTGTACATTAGTAACACTGTTTAAGTAGTGAGTCTGTTAGTTTGCGAAACCTTTTTGACAGATATGGGAGAGTGTAAACAAGAAATATCGAAGAATTGTAATTCTTTATAAATATTAATATAAAAAAACATAATGGAGCATAAAATAAAAATAAAATTATATTAAAATGACGCAAATAAGTGGAAACGTGGAGTGCATGGAGATAAACGAGATAAAAAAATAATTTTTACGAATATGTGAATATAAATGTATTTATAAATTAATAGATTATTATTATATACAATTGTATAATTTTAATGTTTCAGTTTTGATACATTAAAATTATACAATTGTATATAATATCATTATATCATTCATGATATCATTCATGTTTGTGGCATAATTCTTTGCA